AAAAAAAAAGAGAGAACAGTGGTAAAACACTAATAACATTAAGCTTAAATAATTCTACGAATTTGTAAATTTTGAGCAAATTGGCTGTAAAGTCTTGAGTATTGAAATAGGCCTCACAAGCAAATTATGGTAAACTTCATGTAAAGGAAATATGTACAGAGTGATCCTAAGCCCAAGTAGAGCCAAATAATTAGAATAAATATAACATCCCACCAATTTGTATTAGCTCAAATTGATGTAGGAAACAATGCGCATACGCAGTACGTACAATTGACTCCAATAGTCTGAAATGTTACAAAAAATTCAAAAGTGTATTGATTAAACACAAAATTATATTAAGGAAATTTCTATGAATTAACCCCCCCCCCCAAAAAAATACAGAAATATCAGAAGCTGCCGCAGATTAGAAAACTGGCCGAGGAATTGTTTATGAGGGCAGCATAAAGAATAGTACATCTAAATTTAATACTGATATTTCTGTCTAGAACATCAAGAGAACACAGTAATTTTTATAATTGCTTCACTCACGATTGATTCTTTCCATTAAAGTCTTTACATTAAGTCGAAAAAACACAAAACTTCCTCAATACAATTTTAAAAATTGATCTTCCTAACTGTCAAAACCACTGCTGTGTTGACTTCCAGATACAAAAATCACCAAAAAATGGAAAACTGGAATCGTATACCTGAACAACGCAAGTCAACGCTTTCAGACTAGCGGTAGCAATGGTACCTTTTTTTACGTTATTCATTTTTAACCTTTATTTCCTGTGACCACTAAGCACTGTCCAATTAACTAATTGTTTAAATGTAATGCAACTATTACCCACAATTTAGAAATGATTCATAAACTGTGACTAGTTTTTCAGTTTGCCATGAATAAAGCCATTGGTCTGCAACCAGGGATGTGGTGTTCATTGCTGCTTGAAGGCTTAAGCAGTCTCCTCAATTGCTGTGCCTTCTGTCGGTGATAATTAAAATAAATTAGCATACACGACACACTGAGAGGGAAATATAAAGGTATCAAATTAATGAAAGATGAAAATTTGTTTCGAATAGGTCTAAGATACAGCAAACACTGGCATTAGAGCAAACGCTTCTGTACTCTTATCCGTTGGGTAGCTTAGGGATTGATAAACAGCAAGAAGTATGTGAATAACAGAAGAAGAATATTAGAGTAATATCAGCCATTGCAATATGCAAATAATAAACAAGATTACGAAGAAATACCCTTTTTTTGCTAAAGACCGATTTCCCTAATAACCAACTCAAACTGTGCTAATGTGGCAGAGCCAGAAATGAATATGTTATTACATTGAAGTAGTTCCCCTTTAAAAATGATTAGTTTTAGTTTGGAGTTCTTGATTTTCTTTTCTTGAAGTGTGCCTCCCGTTTATTTGTTTCAGCCCCAGCTTCCCCCTATAAAGAGCTGCCACATGGTCTGGACACACTCATTGTAGCACATCAGCAGGGACCAGTCAACTTGACATGTATTGTTCCTCCTAATTGGAGTGTGGTTTTCTGCGTGAGCCCTATTCTGCTTGAAGTCAGTAATTGAAGTCTGAGAGTAACCTCATAAGGTCCATATTACACACTATGTTGGGTTTGGTTTTAGTCGTTGTAAAATTGTTATCGTTTTGATGTTAAGTCTTTTAGTCCTTTTCGTGTTTGTTTGTTTGTTTGCTTTTTTTACTTTTAGGGGGCTTCTTTTTCATTAATAGACTCTTTTGTGTCCTTTTTTTAAAATCACATATTGGTGTTCGGGGCCCTATTAATTCAGTTCCTTGCGACCTTTACCTCAAAGATCATTGGTTTAGTTATTTTTTGGTTAGTTTGCGAGTTCCTCCATAGTGTGCCTTTTTTCTCCATTACACAAAACCGAAAAGATTCACACGATAACTTTCGCATTTTGATCGTGACAAACGTCTTTGACAGTTCTACAATTATCACTTACGAACACAGGGGTTAATTCGAAAAGACCGGAATTGAAATCAGTTCAACAAAGAAGCCTATACTGTGGACACAGAAACCATTGCTAAAAAACGCCTTTTGAAGCTGAAATATGTATCCCTTTTCTTAAACGTCGATGGATACACATAAGTGTTTTTTTAAGAAAAAAAAAAACTTTTCAGATATAGCATAATATGCTATTGTGGTCGTGATTACATGTTCTCTCTAAGCTGTCCAATTGAAAACTTACAATTCGAACTTGCATGGCTGCATGTCACCAAAAAGTGGTTTATTTTGTACCCACCAAAATTCCATTTCTCATACCTTAGATCTTATACATTTCTAATAATGCCTAAAAACCCATTACCATGCAATTGGGTTGAACGGATTCCGCTGATCTGCATTATCAGGTTAAGTGCGCACCATAGCTCTTTACAATGATGTGATCTCAGCAAAGAAGGGCTTACACGAATAAGAGCTTGTTTCCTGTTTACCCGCCTATCTGTCAAGAGCATCGTTTAACTTGACGCTTTTTTTGCCTGAAGAATGAGCAAATGGTTGAGTTGACTCCATACAGTGGTTGCTGCTTGACTGCTCAGAATAGACAAGGTATATGACAACTTATAAGGTAGAACAGAATCCAGCGAAGATGCTGGCCACAAGTATGAGGTTTAGCTTGAAGCGATGGTTCGGACTATTTAGTGTGGAAGATGTGGGATCCATATGCAGGCACTCCATGCATTGTTACCATGAAAAGGAAAATCACAAAATGATATGAGTGAAAAGTTGCACAAAGAACATTTAATTAAGCAATGGATAAGACCAAACAAGATAGCCATTAAGAGGAGAAAGCCATACGAAAGATGATAAATCCCTACTGAACAGTAACGGCATAGCCAAGGCAGAAATGATTTAGAGATGCCATTTGGGTCTTGTAAGAAGGGCGGTTGGGAACTGGAGATGAAGTAATCTAAGAACTAGCATGGGAAATTTTCATTCATTGATCATTCATTCAACTGAAATTAAAGCAACTAAATTTTGGCAAGCAAGATGACTTACATTAAAATTCCTTTTCCACAAAAACATTACCTGTTACTCGCAATAACAGGAAACAAGAGAAAAATAGTGAAACCAGCTTTGTGAAATTGGTTTTGTACACCAAAGTCAATATGCAAATTCATTTTAATTCATGCTACAAAGGAAATTGTACATTTACAAAGCTTTTTACGGGGTTCTGTTGTAACACACACAAAAATATCACTCTACAGTCACAAAGTGCGTCCTTTACAAAGATTCTCTGTTAATTACTGATACATTTTACAGAAAACGCATCGTAGCACTACATAATTATTTTAACAGCGTGGTGGCACTTCGAAACAAAAAAAATTCCATTCAATAAAAAATTCAATGAAATTTGTGACCTTGTAAATTCTAAGCGTTCAAAGTCCTGCCCACAATTAGCGTTGATGAAAGTGGTGTCACAGCCAGCCCCCAATAACAAAAGCCTGCAAGCCTGTTTCAGTAAATCATTCCTATCATGACTAGTTTCTCGCAATTTAATAAGCCTAGCGATAGATTGAAAATTTTAAGAAAACTGACATTTATAATGTAAATTGGGAATGTCTAATGCATACTTCCACCATTGCAATATTACAAAGAGGCCTAACTTAGGTAAATCAATTTTGTACTCAAAACAACAAACGGAAATATGAACAAATTGAAGATAAATGAAGAATTATTTACATGTATTCATTTTATTTGTTTGTTTATTAGTTACATATAAAACACTAGTGGTATAAAGGCCGAATTGCGGTTTAATGTACAATTAATAAAAACGTTAAAATAAAACACATGCACAATCGCACATTGTATAAAACATTTAGCTTAAAATGGCATTAAAACGATCAACTTGTAGACTGCACTTACAAAGCTTACCATTGAGCTTGGTCATAGCTTGAAGAACTAAAGAAAGAAATGGTATGCAGTTGTTGTGTTGGGGTTTTTACAAGACAAAGTGCGAATTCCAAAGAGAAAGGGATCTGGTTCTTCAGATTTCCCAAGTGTAGAAAGCAGCGAATCGAATGGGTACAGTACCGGTACATGTACATCGAACATGAGTATGTGTTCTCACAAATGCACACGCAGGCTGGCTCCAAGAACACCAACAATGTAGCTTATACTGCACTTCAAGGAAGGAGGCCATACTAAGAAACTACGTAACTCTTTGGATAAACCAGTGAATGAGGTTGCCCTCTGTCGTGCTTGTCCTGGTTGAAAGTGATGAATAAAAGAACATGTTAATTAGGGAAGATTGCTTTTTGTCACTTTGTAGTTGTGCACTAATCTGGTTTAAATGTGTTGACTTGCCCCGCGGTAGGCCAGTGCAGAGTTGAAAAGTCTTCAAAGCAGGACAGAAAGTCTGCAACATGGTGCAACTTACCAAAGAGCAAAGAGTGTTTGTCGCGACGAAATTTCTTGAAAACAAGAGCTTTCAAGCCAACCAAGCTGCATTAAGGGAAGCCTTCCCTCACGGGGATCCACCAGCAAAGTCGAATATCTGGGAAAATGTGCGCAAATACTGAGAACATGGGACAAGCCTTAATTTGAATAAGGGTCATTCGGAAGGAGGCGCACAGAGCGAACTCCTGAAAACGTTGCTGCAGTTCAACAGCAACTTGTGTATATGCTTGGCCGGTCTTGAACTAACGTTTAAGACCAGCCAAGCACATACTATTCCATTACTCAAATATATAAATTTGCGTTGCAGATTGAGAAATGTATGTCTGTTGCACTACTTAGACTGGTGATTAGTAAAATATATAATCAACATTATTCTAAACCTGAAATTTGCATGGAGCATTTATCAAAAAGGGCTGGATGCGAGTGACTGCCCTAAAGCCCTTCATTATACAAAACTAATTAACACTGTCCACCTTTCCCAAAACCTGTCCGACTAGGCAAACCCATAATGCAAGTGGTGAACTACTGGGGCAAAACAGTGGGGCAAGTGCCCCCTTCCCTTGCGGAGGTACGTGACCATGGGTGTCAATCTCCCCGTTGAAATGTTTGAAATGTGCACAACCCATGGCAACACGTATCCTTGCCAACAGTGCGTTGGTTGATTCCCACCCATCTGAAAATAGAGGGGATGACGTCGGTTTGTCCAGTCTGCGCTACGTAGCACGCCTGAGCTGAGACAGTCATTATTGAGTTGCTTTTCATACCTTTTTGAACGAATCCGCGCCAACGACACGTTTTTCCCCCTTTACCGTGGGTGCAATGCCAGCTTGAATGCACTGAACTGCCCGCGTCGTCAGACGAAAGGTTCAAAGCGGCTGTGCTGCCAACCTCAGACTACCTTTGGGGTTACAGGGAGAAGGTTAATTCTTGCTGAAAGTTTGGAGACGGATCTTGAGGAAATCCAAAGGACTCGTCGCTTTCGACTGGTGTTGCTCACGACGATACGGTGGTCTCATGTCCACACTCCTCACCTGGAAAATGTCCCCTGCAATCCTGGTTGCAGTCGGTCTTCAACTTATTGGTAAGTTCTTGTCATAATAGAGTATTTAATTTAAACCCTCGACACTGGAAGATCGGTTCCACTGGTTCGTGTGGAACAACTAAATTTTCCTGTTCTTACTCTCAAACCAAATATAAGCCTTGAGCAAATATACGCCATGAATTCCAAAATACGCACAAGCCGACCATGCAGTGCCGCATGGGCGTAAATGCCTGGGAATGAGGTATACTTTTTTGGGGGGGGGAGGTAGGGCTGCTGAATCATTCCCCATTTTTTCTTTAGAGAAAAACAAATTCAAGTGGATTGTGAAGAATGTTTTGGACTTAAAATGTGCTCATAAAGTGGACAATGAAAAGGCCATAAATATACCGTTCTGATGAAAGAGTTTACAGGAGTCCGTGTTATGAACATCACCCTCAGTCAGTGCCCCCCTTCCAAATTTCCATGTCTGAGTAAGTTAACCCCCCCCCAAATACAACTTAATTACCTATCCTTCCACCCACCTAGTTTCTGGCACAAAATGAAGTCACCGCAGTGCTGGTTAGTACAAACGTCCAAGCCACTCGGCCTAAAGAAATAAAAAAGCAAGGACACCGCCTGAGGTACGCGCCATTTGTGGGCTATAATGGTCTCGTTGTGTCCCTATTACACTCACACAGTATTACTACGTCCTCATAAAATGAGGAGAGTGTGGCTAATCGTGGTGAGATCTTGTGCGTCGTAGTAAGAACTCAGCTGGAACTGATAGCAACATGGTTGGGTTTTCATGGCAGGAAGGTCGTGCCAAAATTGTGAGCATGCTCAAACTTTACATGGCAGGGTCGTAGAGACTTCAAGTCCCAGTGGTTGCTGTATTAAAAACTTACGAAAGACAGCATACACGCAGTCTTAGCGTATCAGCATTGCAGTAGAATCTTTCTAGACGTAGTACAAGAACTGCTCAATCGGAATGAATATTGCACCGTTTCATCTCACTAGAAAATTGATGGGGTGCGTTGTTTCAGCTCAGCCAACATAGAAACGACATGCTCAGAAATGTGACGGTAGCTCGCTACAAGCGCACCGCACACTTTACACACGCAGAAATGACGTCTTTCTATCGCAACGTGATCAATTAAGTCTAAGTACAAGTGCATAGTACATCGCGGAACGATCTGATTACATCTTAGTAAAGTCGGGACTAGCGCTCAGTTTAATTGTACCAAGAACGTAATACGGACAGTATACACGAGTTGGCAACGCAGTATACCTAGTGCGATCTTGACAGAATTTTTGTTGCCAGATTTTCTGAGTGTCATCCCGTCCTGGCTAAGTTTCAATGAAATTTTACAACGTATATAGCGGGGTCTTCCTGGTCGTCGTCAGAGTGGATGCGGGCATTTTCCGGTGGCAAATTCGACTTAAACACACCCCGTGACGTCCCCAATTGTTCTAACGCTCCAGTAGTTTGCACTAATGCAGCGTCTTTCTTTTACTGTGGGTATTATACTTGCTACATAAAGCCTAACCCCATTGATATAAATGCTGTGGCAGAGAGCCACTGTCCAATGCACGGTGTTGCTAGGTAACAATACAGTCAATACTGTTATACATTGTAGCCAACCGTGCACACGCATCATTGTTCTTTGGTATGGCACAGCCACGATATAAAACAGTAACGATGATTTGTTTTGATGGATGGAGACCGAACAATACTCACTAATTGGAAAAAAGTAAACAACCAGCTGATATTCCCGACTCTAGGGACCACACTGGTACAGGAAGAAAAGACTGTGTAGGCAAACCAAACGAATGCCTGTATAGTGACAATTCAACGAGTGCATTTTGGTAAGAATGACATTTTACGCACTTCTGCACAAAAAAAAGAAACCAGATTGAAGGTTTGATTACTTTTGACAATTATTCCTTAAAAAATATGCAGTATCGAACCCTGATATTTAAAATGATCGGTAGAAATATAAAGACGCATGTAAACTTCGAATTCGTCGTCCAATGTAGCAAACTTTGTTTTCTTTAATCTGTACAAATATTGCTCATTGAATAAGCCTAGTGAAATCATCACGGCATATGCAATAAGTCAGATCTGGAGTGAATTTTTGTACTCCTTTGACAACCTGTATGTTCATCAGCAATCCCCAAACTTACATTTTAGGTTCTTTTACATTCTTATTACAGAGCTGTAGATAACACTGTAAAGTTTTTGCGGGCAGTTGGGACTATTTCGTCATTGAATGACATTGTACATTTTAATTTAAGAAGCATGCCCTATAAACTAATCAAGATTGCAAATTTTCTTTGTGGAGTCGAGCAAAAACTGCGAGAGGTACGGTCTCCAGGGGCTACACACCATGAACGTTCTCTATTTTTCTAGACTTGTTTTGGGTATCGCCGCCATGGCGCCAGAATTTTAAGATGCCGAGTTCTGCTGCTAAGGAATACATTGAGCGACCCGAGGTATCGTGCCAGTTACTGCAGCATTGAGACCTGTACCGCTTTAAGGGCCTTGCTTGTTAGATTGTAATTTTTACTTAGGAGGCAACGAATTCACCGTAATCCTCTAATTACTGCATATTTAATTCCATATTTAATTCATCTGCGGTGGGCTACAACTTTGCATAAAGACGTGTCTTATATTACAAATGAAATATGGAATGCAAAACTGAAATATGGACCGCATCAATTCTATCACGATGTTACTTGTTTTCACATTGACAAATGAAACACAAGATGGCTCTCAGTTTTCATTTTTAATTGCAAAAAAAGAAACGACCTCAGTATTATTTTTTCATTCTTTTCGTTAAATAGAAAAATGAGAAACGACTTGTTTTTCATTTCACTTTCTTTTTTGCACGCTAGAAAACGAACAACAACTTGTTTTTCACATTTCTTTTTTTTCAGATCGAAAAACAAACGTCCATGGACCATGAGTGTTTATCACATTAGATCATTAGAATGTGGACACTCCTGTAGATGACCGATCATGTTCATGTTCTTGAGGGAGAACGCTTAATTTTGGCGTTTCGCATTGATGAACGTGTGCATTGTAAGCGCCAAATCGCTGTAACCTTCATTGTTGGCGCGAACACAATAGCACATCTCTCACGTCCAATCAACGGTCTCTCCAGACGTTTGTGCGGGTGGATAGAATCTGCCGGCGTTCACACTGTCCAGAAGGGTAGGCTATTTGGTATCTGCAGCAACCACTTATATGACATTTACGTCAATTATGGCCGTGGTTAAATACGGGCATGTTGCCCTTGACATTCCTTAATTGCGACTTTCCAATGCGATCTTGCCGATTGCGATTTTCAGTGTAAAGAAAATGGCAGTTGTTTGTTTTGTTTGTCAACTCTTCAAATGCTCCTTTTGCCCCAATACAGTTTTATTTCTTTCGGATTTTATCTTAAAATGTGTTCTCGTCCATGAATTCTTCTTCGTGTTTTCTGTCGCATTCTGCATCTTAAATTATTATTCCTGTTATTAAAGTTACAAGCTTGAATAACAGGTATAAGTCTAACCAGCTGAGAGGCTTGAATTGTGCAGAGTTTTGGAGGCACACCTTCTTGCCCTGTGGTGGTTATGAATATAATGCGTACGATAGAAAATCTGTGGAAGAAATCAGTATGGGAAATACGAGCGATTCACAATAGTGTGTCTCCAAGAGTTTGCAACGCGTTGGCAAATCGCAACGCGCAAAATCTGTCGACCCTTTCCAAACGCGCATTGGGTTGACAAATTTCGCACACTGTGATTGGTCAACGCGTTGTAAAGTTTTGGAGGCGCACTATTTTGAAACGCTCTTATGGTACACGCTTTATGTGGCACACATAGTAAGTTTGGTAGGCAAAACCACGGCGCCATTGGAAAGAATGACAGAGGACAGGAAAAAGAAATGGGGATGTGAGGTTACTGTCAAGTCAGGGAATCAGACTACCATTAAATTCATTTGCTTGACAGTCTGTTGGCAAATTTCATGATGGCATCCCGCCTTTCTAAAATGGTCTAGCGACGCCCGTGGACATCGGCTTGTGTGCAACACTTAGTCTCTAGAGAACTTAATGTTGGGCCGTGAGTTTAATTTATTCCTCTTCACATCAAAAGTTGGGCTGTAGGACGCATGTAAAAGCTATGCAGGCCTACTGGATCTACTTTAACTGGGTGACTGAACACATAAATTACGTGCAAGTGGCACGGTCCTCATTCTTTTTAACAACAACTTAGTTGGCCCATTGTTTTGTCATTATTTTGTCTAGAATAGCCTTGATGCGGGTTTATAACATTTTTGGGAAGCGTATTCCAGTAAAAGTTATTAGCCTTGGGGATATTCTTTCTGTTGATTCCGCGGAGGGAAATTATATTTGCACTGGTAGCGTTTCGCGGACAACTCTCGCTCTTTTCGTTGCACGCTTACTCAGGAGACGTAGACTTGTCGATCATTTGCCGACAGCTAGTCCACGAAAACACGATTAATAATCAGAGATACCCCGGGAAGCTGGGTGAGTAAACCCTTTATTCAATGTACGCAAATTTGGCCTGGCATGGGTGTTATCAAACTTGGGATTTATGGCCGAATACCGGGGTTTGAAATGGGTCGTTCATGGCGAACCTGTGCACATTGTGGGCATGTTGCTTCTTGTATTAAATTGTATAACATTGGGGCCTTTAACCGCAGAATAACTGGGGCAAGTCTTATTGTTTGAATATGTGGTGCATATTCTTATTTCTGATTTTTTGTTGCATGTCTTAAGAATGAGGTGTCATGTTTTTCAATTCTGTATCTTATTTTCAGGGTGTTTATTTGCTGAGGGTGACACCAGTTCGTGGGCAGTGCTCGGTCCATACTCATCCGTCCTCAAGCATTAAAACCACCACAGTCACCTCCCAGCCCTGAGTCCAGGTGTTCTTAATTCGTGTGGTCTTGCATCCCTTACCGGGGAATAACCTCCCCCATCGCTGCAATCCATTGAGAGTGGCACAACCCCGGGGAAGCTCCCATCGTCGCGCTGACTCCCAACATTAAGAATCTGTGTGTATGCGAAGGTGATCTGGCGTTGATGCACAGCTTTTCAGCTAGTGGTGTAGCGAGTCACACTTGCTATAAATGTTTACGGTTATTGCTGGTCGAATGCTTCGGTAAGGTTTGGGAGTGGAATTAGCATCAAACCCAATAAAAAGAGTGGGGAAATGACGGAGGTTAAGTTTGTTGGAATTTTTCTTCGACATTTCTTCTAACCAAACAATAGCATATAAAAGCCAAAGGGAGGGACGGATTGTGCCCCCAAGAACTCGGCTGTCACATGCCTGATCGCTTTCAAAATCATCAAGTTTCAATTCTAAATAAGTACAGGTATGGTGTTTTGGTGTAACGGTCATTCTAACTTCACAGCCTAACCTGCATGTGTACGCCCGTGTGCAGAAAAAGTATCAAATTTTGGCTGACCTGTCTCGGAATAAATTCACGTTGTGCGAGAATGCTATGTCTGCTATTCCAAAAAGTTGGAGTTAAAATGATTGCAAGATGTGAATGAATTTTTTTAAAGCATTGGCGCATGAAGACAATTCACTGTGACTGGAGATAATGTTGAAAAGGGGGACGCGGACTCCAACCTCCGGCTCTTTTAAGATTCAACAGTTCTAGAACACGATCAGCAGTGTTTTGGTCGCATTCCATCGGAACTTGCAGCTTAAAGCTGGGTTGTCAGAATGCACTGCAAAAGAATATTCTAACTACAAAATAATTTTATCGTCATTTTGTAATCCTCCCTTCTCCTAAAATACTCCCTCCTTCCTTTACAGAAGCAGGCTTGTCATACCCTGGGTTCAGGTCTCAGTACAGCCCCCTTCCTCTATGTAAGCAGGCCAAGATATTTCGTGAACGAAATACCATAGACGTTTGATTTAAAGATAAACGACTTCGATTTATCTTAAAAGTTTACTGCCGGTCCCTCGTATTGTAAAAAACAAAACAAAATTACAAAGAAACATGGGATCACAAAAATATTATAGCCCTAACAATCCCAAATCTTCCGATTTCAATATGATTCTACATGCACCCTAGGGGGTCAGGGATCTATTGAGTTTGCACGGACGAATGTACCAATTTATTAGAATGATAAGGCCGGGGAGATTTTCGAAATCACTCCTCCCTCGCGTGAATACACTCGCGATCTCTATCTGTGGGGCTGACAATGCACTTACTAAATGAGGCACATCATGGAAAACGAGTGGATGCGATGTCACGATAACAGCGATTGAAAGTGCTCACCCACCACGCAGTATGGAATTTATTTTTTAGTGGTTCTTCATCTGGAATTTTACTGAGCCCCGAAGGGAACAGGCCCGATGGATTTTTGTTTTAAATTTAGTTCCCTCGAATTATTATTTCGTTCTCTCGAAAAATTATTTCATTCTCTCGAAATAATTTTGTTCCCTCGAAATATTGCATTCCGTTCCCTCGAAATATTATTACGTTCCATCAAATTACTATTTAATTCCCTGGAAATATGCTATTTCGTTCCCTCGATATATTTTTGTGTAGCAATTGGCGCCATAGTCGTACACTCGTGGAACAGGAAAACGCTTCTAGATTAATTTACTCCAAGGTAAGTAGTGCAAACTTCGATTGGGAAGCGTTTACCTTTCCTATAAGTGTACGACAATGGCGCCAAGCATACAAAATATTTCGAGGGAATGAAATAAATATTTGGAGAGAACGAAATCAGTATATCGACGGAACGAAATCAACATTTCGAGACAAGAAAATGGCATATTTCTAGGGAATGAAATATTAATTCGAGCGAACGTAATAGCATTTAGAGGGAACGAAATATCTTATTTCTAGGGAACGAAATTATATCGAGGGAACGAAATGACATTTAGAGGGAATAAAATTATTTCGAGAGAACGAAATGGGAACGAAATAAAAAACAATTCTCATTGTGCCTGTCCCCTTAGGGGCTCCGTAACAATACAAGGAATATAATTTGAACTAGAAGGCGGAGCGAGGGGTCGTGTGCAGGCAACCCTAACCCACCTTCCACTGTCCCTAAACCCTAGCTTTTCATATCTAATAACATTCTTTTCAGTCAGTTATGGCAGTTCCGTCAGTATAGTCTTGGTTCCAAGACCTTCCAGTATATCTACGACATGAACCATCTCTCGTACTATATACATATGTTCATGTATATCTACAGGGCACTATCACATCACGAATCGTTATCACAGGAAGGTCTTTAATATTTTTAATTTAAGATCTTGGGTGGCAACAGATATGGAAATAAAGGTAGGATATGTATTTGATATTCATATCACATGAGTCATAATCGGAAGAAATTATGCAAACGACTTTCAACATGCTTTGTGTTCAAGAACTACGTTTTCCTATTTAAACATCAGTCAATAACATGATGACATGTTTTATCGGATGTTTATACCTAAGCACTCACAAAATATCCTCCTATGGCCCGGAGCAGCAACCAACAAGTTGCCGTGAGCGCATATAAATTGAAAATATAAATTTTCAATTTTCGCCACGTCGCACCACGGTACGGTCACGATGTATCAGGTCCCTGCTCTCTTTAATACTGCTCATTTTTCAATTTTTCTTAAGACCTACAAAATTATAGTATATCAATTATTTAAATGAACAACGAATAGCTGAACATGGAAAGTTGTTATAACAATAATCTATTGGCAAATCTTAAAGGCATGCTACAACCAAGACGGCATTTTCTGCGGAAATTTTCGAACCTTGAGATCGGGACGCTAGTTTCGTTTTCAATTCTCGGTTGAGTGACGCCATGAACTGATATGAATAATTTAATATATGGCTCAAACAAAACTGTTGATTGGCTTCCTCGAAAGTCGAGGGAAAAACAATAAAAACATTTAAAAAAAGAAAGCAAAGTATCTAAGACCTTCCTGTGATAACATTCGTGTGGTGATAGAGCCCTCCAACAGTGTACGTATGATGGTTTGCGTCGCTGTATAATTACCGGAAGGTCTTGGAACCAAGACAACTCCGTCAGCCGAGCATGATGCCATGTTGCCATGGTTTCTCACAGTTTTCCATTAATAATGGATCAGGCTGCTGAAATGAGATGAATTGGATCAAATAAGGTTTGCGTATAGTGCAGTCATTTTGTTTTTCCCCCTATGCACAAGGTGCCGCGTTTTCGACTGCCTCTTCTTGCCAGTGCTTCATTGGTCAAGAGAATGAGCCGGCAACCAATCGTATGCGATGGGCGTTGCCCTACAAAAATCCGTGCAAGTGCTCTTCTGTGCAACTCGGTGGCGTTAACATGGTGCGGCCCCTACGGCTGGTCCAAGTGCCGTATGTCGATGCATCATTTCACCTGCCCGAGATCAGGACGCAATTCAACTGCAGTATTAAATACGGTACAAAGAATGACCATTCTTTTATTCGTGCCATGCGGAAATGTAGCAGTCTGTAAGCTTAACAAGGGAATTCAGATTTGTCTCTGTACACTACATAGAAAGCAAAATCAGCAATGAATAAGATTTATATTTTTGCATCATGATCATCCAGTCACTTTAATGTGCGTCTCTGTTTTTTACAGATTAGACCGGATGACCTAGTTCCACTTTCCAGTTTTTTTTTCTTCGGATTCTTTGTTATCCACTGACAATACAATCTGTTTGGGGCAGTATTCTGGGTAGCTAGCTTGCCGTATAGGGAAATTAGGGGGGTATTGCATTGGTAACTTTTTTGTGCATTAATAAGAGTTGTGAGTTCAAAGCTAAAGCGATGCTGCAGCTTGTATACCTCTTCTTTCTTTTTTGGGGGGCGGAGGGTGGGGGGACTAGTAACCTATGGTATCTGGCATTCCGAGGGCGCATTGCTAATCGACGTCTTTCAGTTTCTCAGAGGTTTGTCTTGAGTACCAGGCAATGCGAGTTTGTCCAAATATTTCACCCATGTTTATTCTCAACATCAAAATCCCGGGGCTATAACATTCTTCCCCACGAGCTCCTCTGTTTGCAATAGACAGACCCAGCACCATGGGGGGGTCGAAATTCGTCCTGGGGTTTGTAAATTACCTTTTCCTTTCAGAGGGGTGATGGTAGACACCCTGGGTCTTTTTACACGCTTTTGGAAGGAAGGTAAAACAGACGAATGGTGGGTCCTATTGGAGTCCTCACTCTGTTGGTTCAACTTCCGATCCATCTTTGTCTGGTTGAGGCAAAGAGTGAAGGTTTCCTTAATTCAGAGAACCAAACCCAGGAGCATGTTTGACTCTCTTGGTTTCAGGCTGCTCCGAGGAGAAACCTCTTGGCATGGAGGATGGGCGAATCCCTAAGGACAGCATCACGGCTTCGTCTTATTTTCGGAAAAGATCTGATCACGGACCTGCACGCGCACGCCTCAATACTCAAGGTATATACGAACTTCCCTGTTGCCGAAAAATCTTGACTTCACAATCACTCTTTATCACGCATCACTAGAGTACGGTATACCCATGCAGCTGAAGTGTTAAAAACATCACAGATATAGTGTTCGTAATGGCCACCCCGCGCTGTTTGCATTCTCTGTTGCATTTACCTTTGTATCAATATGGCACTCTGGAGAATACCTTTAGAGTTTCTTCGACTGGAAGTTCAGGACAACGTTCGCCTTTTTAACAGATGTTGAAAGTCCCCACCGCGGATTTCTTGGGTGTGTAGAGGATTTCAGTCACGTGATTTTTGCAGGGTCAGCGTTCAACTTACACAGAAGGCGTGCACCTTTGATGCCTCTCAACATTCGAGCGTACATGAAACTGCCAATAGAAATACACGAATTGGAAAATGCACGCCCCTCGAGGGACATGGTGTAAACTTCCTGAAATGCCTTTACCCGTCACGCTACGTCACGTGAAAACCTCTTGAGTACCAAAGTGAATACGTCATGCACACAAAGTGTGTGAAAGGCGTAAGCGTGAGAACCAGCGCGTGAACCAACACGCACGCGTACTCCATTCATTTTCACTTCTTTTTCTGGTTCAAAATGAAGTCACGCTTCGACATAGATGTTAGCTATTATTGTAGCCCACACTCTCTCAGTGGTTCACAGCCCATTAACCCCTAGGCCAGTGTTGACTGGTAAGGGGCTGAAATGGGCGGCATATGAAGACTATGCTCAACAGCTGGCAATGTTTGATGGACGAATGATTAGTTTTCAAATCTTCCCGTGAGCATATGACGTATGAGCTAGAAGAGCATAAAAGCTGCAGTTCAATTTGGCAATTCCCTATACAGTGCGCCACCAAGAGGTTGCCACGCAGAGGCCCTTTCTCAGTTTATGGTCGACAAAACCATATCCCTGCCGCCATTTGCGTAGGATCTTGTGTCTGTAGACAAATTGGCTAGAGTTTTGATAAATATAATTGGGTTGTTCCTTGGATTTACTGTAACAACTCCTCGAAAAATACATATGAATTTCTTCCATAATTCACTGCGAAAAAAAGGCTTTTCTTGGCAATATCTTGTTGGCGCACTGTGCACCCAACCACACACTGTAGACGACGTTAACTGTTGTTTTCAATAGGTGTCGCTGCAGCTTGGTGTTGTGACGAAATACAGGACCCAGACCATCCCTGGATTCAAGTTGAATTCGAATCCGAGGTCTACGTCACGGGACTGGTCACCCAAAGCCGAGGTGGTGACAGTAACAACAGAAATCGCCAGCGAGTTACACGATTCAGGGTGGCGCACAGCAATGATGGTGCATCTTGGAAATACGTGACTGGCACTAACGGTACACCCAAGGAGGTATAGAGTCTATATAATCAGGCAGTAATCAGATAGTAACTTACAGCCGTTTAACGCTGGTGAAAATTGAGGGGACCAGGGTGAGCGGACTTTTGACGGTAGCTCTGAAAACATAAGAACTGTGCAGCTTGTTCGGCCTGGTTTTCTCATTTCAAGATTTCTGATACCAGGGTGGTGGTGTCCGGAGGTATGGACATCAGAGCAGGTGCGGGCAGAAAGTACGCAGGAAAACCCCCTGTATAGTTACGTCACTGACACGACAGCAAACGTTAGGCCAAAAAAGTCCCCGGTTTCTGGTCAGCGTGCGCCTCGGCAAAATAAAAAAAAGTTTTTTATTTGGTATATGAGATCCTGAAAGTAAAAGGCTTTATCAACTGAAATCATGCTACCGCGTACTTTTAACGCGACTTAGATGGGGTAGGGTCGAGTAATATGTAAAAGAGTCCCTCTAGGCCCCCATATGTTTAGTCGGACACGCTTTTTCAGATGACGTCATTTCCGTATTACACGTTTACATCTGGGAATCAGACAAACGTGGTGTTCTTATGTCATGTGTATGTGTCAGCTGAATATGCTTTTAAACAGTAAATAGTGAGGGGCCAGTCTATTTCATTGTTGGAAGCAGTGGTACGTTCGTACAAACACATGTGCACGTACATCAATTCTAACGAAAAACAGGTGAGGGAAAAACGCTTCGCCACACCACTTTTGGAGTAAGCCCCTGACCAGAAATCAGAGACATTTCTATTTCAACCTTATTCTTGGAATATGGAATAACTCAAGTACAATAATCGTCACCATGCACAAGAAAGGAGAATCTACGATATATACCCGTGTTCCAACGTTGGATCAGCAACATCACCCTTTTGTTCCCAATTTGACAGGGGGGCAAGAAAAATGAACACATCTATAGGATGAAAAAATATTTAAAAAAAACACAGGTTCTATGACGGTAAAGGAGGTATTAAGTCTTGTCCCTGTGGATCAAGACGGATAAATATGTCGGTTTCTTTGGTCACTTTTACAGTTTATTGGTAACAGCGAGAGCGACGACTACGATGATCTGGCGACCGCTCGTTTAGGAACGGTGGTGCGCACTAAGTTCTTACGTATCCTACCCACTACCTGGAACGGCTTCTGCAGTATGCGCTTTGAAGTGTTGGGTTGCTATGAAAACTCGACATTCACCTTTTATGAGGCAGTTACCAAAGTGCCCCCAAGTACCCACAACTGATCATTAGAAAAGCAAAGGCAATATAAATGTTCAAAATAAGTTGCCAAGGGTAAAATTAACATCACTTGCAGACTTGGATCTATTTTGAGACCGGATGGAATTTTGTTTATTTGGGTGTACATGCATAATCTGTGTTACGGTGTATACCGGTATGTGTCTGTAGACCATTAGACTTTGGAGTAAGATTTAGACACGTTGGAGAATGGTGTCTGTGTGAATATAAGAATCAGCTGCTTGGTTGATTACTACAAGATTATTCCCTGTGAAAAGTATTTTTTTAAATCCCATTGATACATCTCAAAATGTGCTTTTTGATTCATAGATCTGCAGCTTCTAATTAACGATGTCGTAAAATTAAAGTTTTGTTAAAAGTAGCTCACCGTGACACATCTTGACCGTTGAGCCCATTTGAAAAATATCACTTAGAAGTTTGATGGAACAACATTTTTCGAAAGTATACGTTTCCTGCTCTAATTGAATCTTTTAACAGAAAAAATACAGGTAGGCTAGCTCTAATATATAACAAATTACAGGAATTATTTATCAACAGCATGTACCTTGGGCTTGACACTTATTTTTTTGCACAAGCATACTTTTGTCCCCTATTTGGGGGGAAATTTTGGCTTACAAATTTATTGAGTTTTATAGGTAGTTTTTTAAATTATTCATAAATATCTTTGAGAGTCTAGACATCTCTACTGGTCAAGAGCCCATCACGTGGTCGGTCTTAAATGAGTTAATGCATATTTATAGCATCACCTCTCAGGAGGGACATACCATAACATGCCAGAGGGGTGTTTAAAACAAGAAGCAAAATATTGAATAAAATCCTCAGATATTTCAACTAACAAATCATTGAGGTTTCTAAATCAAAAGTATTTGTGAATGGGGAAAAATGTGTGCCTAGCCGGTGTTCAGACCTGCTCAGGAGAATGGACAGTAATAAGGTATCTTGCCTTAAGCAGGTCTAAAGGCCGGTTCATACTTCGCAAAAGCGATGTGGATTTGATGTTACGAAGAAATTTCCAATGAAATTCCACTAGAGTTGAAATGTATTCAACTGTTACGAAATCGCAAGGCGAATATTTTTTATCTGACGTCACAAATTTGTATTCGTGAACGTTCGCTTTCGCTCGAAGTATGACCCGGCCTCTTAAACGAGCTAGCTGAACACTCATTATTTTATTCCCTCATGCAGATGTTCGGAGCGAATACAAATGGAGGACTGACAAGTAGCTTTAGAGGTCGATATAATGGTGATGTATCAGAAAAAATGGAAAGAGAATGAAGCTGGCCACAAAGCAGTTCAGTGTACCTGTGACAAATGTGCGATGAAATCCGGGAATCCAAATGCGACAGTGGAGCTATTCTGGGGACGCAAACTCTCTGACATTGGACTATCAAATATGTTGATCGGTTGTCAAGCTTAAGTAAAAGGAGTCTCATATCCAATGGTAAAACTATGATCTTATAATAAATAAATCCTAGGTCTGCTTCTTGTTAATCAGGTAAGTCATACTCCTAAATACTGAAGAGTTAAACTACAATATTAAACTACAGCAAGAAGATCATTGTCATTGTTCTATAACTTAATTATTCAGGCCTACATTTAGCCTACACGGTGAATTTAAACAACCAATGAATGAGATAGCAATGGCATCTGCAGCGCTGTTGGCGATGACGTTTTAGTCTATAGTCGACCATTGCATGCGTGTACTTATATATTCTCAAATAACCAAGAACGCACTTCATTTGGTCAAGAGAATGAGTCGGAGACCAATCGTATCCGATAGGCGTTGCCCTATAAAAATCCTTGCCAGCGCGCTTCTCTGGAACTCGGTGGCGTCAATATGATGTGGCATCCACGGCCGGTCCAAGTGCTGTATGTCGATGCATCCTTTCACCTGCCCGAGATAAAGACGCAGTTCAACTGCAGCATTAAATACGGTACAAAGAATCATCCTTTTGTTTATGCCATATGGAAATGTAGCAGTCTGTTAGTTAACAAGGGAATTCAGATTTATATTTGAACACTACATAAAAAGCAAAATCGGCAATATGTATTAGATTTATATTGTTTTATATTATATCATGATCACCCGATCACTTTAATCTGAAGCTCTTCGTTTTCTAAAGATCAGAACAGATCACTTAGTTCCGGTTTCCTTTTTTTATTATTTGTTATCCACTAATTATACAGTCTGTTTTGAAGGGTAGTCTTGGTTTCTGACTTTCAGTATATTGAAGTTAGGGGGTATTGCAACTTTTTAGTGCATTAATAAAAGTTGTGAGTTCAACGCTAAAGCGATGCCGTTAGCTTGTGTTCCTCTGCTTGAATTTTTTTTTTGCCAGGGGGGGGGGACTCGTCAGCTATGGCAACCAGCATTCTGAGGGTGTGTTGCTAATCTGAGCCTTTCATTGTCTCAGGAGTTTGTTTTGAGCACCAGGCTGTATGACTTTGTCCAAATATTTCATCCGTGTTTACTGTCAATGTATTTGGAGCATTCTCTACTCAGCTCTCAAACTGGTTCGTGCTGGGGTTTTAAGAGCAATATCTATTTTTGGTTGTGAACTCCAACTATTACACAACATATCCAACATGTTTGTAAAAAAAAGTGAATTGGATATGATTCAAGGTGACTTGCAAACTCTTTAGGAATACACAGAAAAACCACAAAACGATTTGTATCCCAATATCGTTACACCTTTTGTGATCTTACGTGTTCTTCAGCTTTGCCTGCCAATTTTTTTTAGGATGCTGACATCATGTAATTTAACATCATGTGACATCACGTGTACCTCTCCTATTCTCATGGTGTCGTTTGTAACAGGTGGGTTCATTAATGTCTGAAACTGAAGACACTGGACTGGATTGTTAGCTCTTGCAAAGTCACAAGGTGGGAATGCGCACACTGCGGTTACCTTCTTCCTTAGCCTTATACACACTTTATAATGTTGCACACAAGAAGCACATCCAATCAACTGCTTACATGCAAATGATACTTTTATTTGCTCAGATGAAAGGACGGACCAAGGACTCAGAAACGGAAGAATACTGAAATGTTCCATTATGCGATAAACCAAAAGGAAAGTAAAACCTTAACGTAAAATCCACGAAAATGTGAAAAGCAGTTTATTATTCGTCTTTGATCTTTAAAACCCTAAAGCAAAGGAAGACGCTCCTTTTTGCATCTTGTTGCAAATCAACTAACCATCGTACCCCTAACGAAAAAAGAGTGGCCTAAACATGAAATCACATACTACCGTCCGTCTTTCATAATCCTAAGCTAATGTCCTATTACGAAAGTTTGTATGGCCAAGTGTAAAGACAACTGTCAACTATCAAGCAGGTGTTAAATTTGCAAGATAGTAGACTATTAAAGTGACAAATAATATTCGAATAACACCTATCTTGTTTCTACTACAAAGAGGTTCATCATAAAGTTTAAAACGAGACAGGGAAGGAAAAGAAAAGGCGACAGTTACTCGAACTTCTCCAAAACTGAGCATTGTCTTATTAGTTCATAAAGTCATGTAGGGAGTTATCAATCCTAAATGGTCTAGCAGTGTGGCCCTGACAGTGCGTCCACACTACCCTCACAGCCTTGCATGCTGGTTGCAGGCACAAGGATGTAGATGTACACGTAACGCGCCCATATCGGTCGGCGACAGTCTCTCAGGATGGACCCACCCGGTGGTCTGGCTTGACTGGCAGTGATCGGTGCCCCGCATGGCTGGTTCTCAAACGTGGTTGTGCCAGTCCCAGCGACAACAAAGGCGTCTTTGAGACTTTCACCTAAATAAAATACGCAAGGCAATATAAGCCTCATTAATCAATCCTGGAAGGGTGTACCTGCAGCTTCCATCTAAACAAGAATTGTGCTTGTCTTTGATTTACACATGCAAATATTAGACCTGAAATCAAGTCGGTAATTAATTGGCTGGGTGTGGTCCACCTTCCTTGCGTTGTACATGTAGGTGGTGCCTACGCTGTGAGGTTCGGCGTGCAGTTTAACAACACAAGGGGACGACGAGTGCAACCTCGCTCCCCAATATGCGTGTCCCGCGGTGCCCAATTACCGAGTTGCACAATCTGCAAGCCCTTTTGTGCACAACATACGGGACTTGCTGCCATAATTTGACAGAGCACTCTGATTGGCTAAGAACCCTAATAATATGAATATTTATTTATGGGACAGTTTGACGGTGAGGTGGTAGTTAGTCTCTTTCATTGAAGAGGCTGTTACACTATTCTAAAAAGATAGTTTACCACAAAAGAAAAAAGATACTTAAAAGATTTGTTCTTGAACCGTTATGTATAATTTGTCTTTGCGTAGTAGTAAAAGGAATATCATTAGAAAATATGAAAGAAACTGACACTAATCAAATATTGACATCCCTATGTACAAAATGGATGAGTCTGCTTTGTAGTGTGAGCCACTATTGGAGCTCTCCATGGAAACATATGAATATGCAGTATAGTTGTTGCATAGGCCGAAATGAATATCCTTCCAAAACCAGGTTGATAAGTCATTAGGCGGGCACAGATGGGGTCATGGACTGAGTGACGTGCTCCAGAACCCGGTACTGAACAACCCACAACGACTACGCGTCGTATCCATGCCGAATCAGGGCGGCACGCTGGATCCGTTGTTGGCAATGCGACCGTGAACAGCCGGCTCAGCATGCTGACTCATATCGGTTGTTCTGGACGACAAACACGACCAACGACTTACTTTCAAGTCTACACAAATAAACGCGTTCTACTGAAAGATACCTTGTTTGAAAAGCAACGTTCCAAACTTAAAAAAACAACTTCCAAAATTCATTGAGTTGAAACAATGAGTACAGGGAGTTGGTTTGAAGAAATTTCTCTTTTTTGAGACCTCACAATTATTTCCCCACAAATTATGGGACGTTCTTTAATGGAACGTTCAGAGAGAAACGCGAACTGATTCATTAGTCTTCTGAAGAACGCAAAATCCATCATGAATCTTCATCCTATAGTACGTAACAATGAACATGTATTAGGTACGTTATTAACATTTAAGCGTATGGTGAGATACTTACTGCAACTCTCGCCAAGGTAGTGGATGGTTACTTTTGAAATGCATTGTCCTTTGCCAAGATCGACCTTCCACCACTGGGAGTTGGTTGCTGAGGAAAAAAATCAGGGTTGGCCGATGATTTTATTCAAATAACCAATTTCAATCGCAATTTAAATCGAATGATTTGTTTGAAAAAAAACTGATTTAAACTGATCTAAAAACTGATCTAAATTAAAATATCAAGTTATGTTGGAAATGACAAATTGTTGATTTGTTAGTTTGTTTCGAATGGTTTCTCATTTTTCCAGGTTTCGCACATTCTAAACGGAAAATCCTCCTCTAAGTTTGAGTTCCTGGGTAACCAATTCTTGGGAACTGCATTTAAGTCAAACTTCATTTGAGTCTGGTTAAAACCAGGGCACTTCACCCCTGGTAACTGCAGTTCTAAAGGAATTCTGTGCTAAATGCACTGCACACATTTCCCCTGGGCTCAGGCAATATGTGAGGTTATTAAATTGCGTAAAGGGCCTATACTATTTTATTCATCTTACTACCGTCAACAGGGGTAACTTTGGAAGATTGAAAATCCTCATCGTTTCAGCTGTCCAAAAACAATTTTTTTCTTTGTTGATTGGACACTTCTATTGTATGAAGCCTTATTGTTTAATTAAGCAATAGCAAAATATCCATCCACTTCTTTTGACAGTGAGTTGGAGCTTAATTAGTTGCTGCCAAAGTTATCCCGTGGTTCGGAGCACCTTTGGCAGGTTGCTGGAATTTAAAGAAATAATAATAAAGGATTGTAACAAAGTTTTACACATGAAACATTCTTCAGGCCAAGCCTCCAGGTGTATTCTATGATAATGTTAATTTCATAGAAATGTTTTGGAGTATCTTATATCATTCATATAGCGCGTTGCGAGTATATGACGATTACAACCAACGGGTGTGGCTTGTGCCAAAGTTACCCCAGAGTGTCAAAGTCACCCCGTTTATTATAAGTCATGACTTAAATTTCTAGCTTTAAAATCCTAATTTGTTTAATTTCGTCAAAAATATTAACACATTTATAAATCTGCCGTCGTTGGAACGGCAATTCATCTAACTCTGGTTATAAAACACCAACACAAAATTACCAACCCTGGGTTAGACATTATATCAGTGGCGCAAATTTTGTGCTGGAAATTGGGGTTGGGGATTAGGAATTGTGGGGGGACGATTTACCAGGTCATGAAAAATTTGAAAAGCTGGGGATGACACCCTTTGACAATACATTAGGTAGTACATCCTTTTATAATTCTACATCAGAGTGGCATTATTTATGGCTTTTTATTGCTTATCCTTTTATTAAATGCTAGAGAATACATTTTGGTTCTCCAGAAGAGTGAAAAATCTTCAAATTCATCTAAATTTTCTCACCACGAAAAAGTTTATTAAGAACGAGAGGGTGAGTCAGTAGAGAACATCCTTCTGGTCCAAAAGTGGGGGGGGGGGTGGATATATGCCCATGTTTTATACAAAGAGCGAACAGCTACACTTTATTTCCCTATTGTTGGAATATTTGTGAAATCCTTCCCTCAGTTATAGTTTGCTGTTGCCGGCCTTTGTAGCTGTAAGTCTTGCGGTGTTCACGATTCATGAACCTCGTAGAATTTTTGTGTGTGTGAACGGTTTACCACTTGTATTGTTGAATGAAATATACTATTTCACTAATGAATTCATGATTATGCACGCATGCGCACAAATGGCCTTGACGGTAAGAAGTGCAGTGTGAGTGGGCCATTAAAAATGTACAGGGGTGCGACTTTGATGATCATTTTCTCTCTTTTTTAGCTTTGTTCGGGTGTTTTCTTGTCAAGATCTGTCAAGATCCCAATAAATCGTGTTTGCTATTAGTTTCTAATTTAAGTGGATCTTTATTGCTCTGTAAAAAGACTTCATAATCGTATTTTTTTTCCTCTGCGCATGAGATTGCCGTTTCTAAGTATGTTCCACTTCAATCGTAGGTAGTATAAATTACATTGTTAGTGTTCTTGGAGCCAACCCGTCCATTTTTAAAACACGTATCAATGTTCAATGTCGACGTATACTGCATAATGGGCGCATAAATATGACTTCATTATAGTGAAAAGGTCATTTGGCTTTTGGTAACCCAATCCCATAGGCTTATGGCCCAGCGCAAACAAAGAGATGTTCAAACCGTTATTCGTTGGGGGCGATGTTGATCAAATTAACTCTGACCAAATCATCACCGGTTTATGGCAGGGACAGTTATGTCAAAGATGACGCATTTTCCGATTTCTTATTTTCTTCACTGTTTATAGCTTTTAATACATCGAACCTAACCATATTTGTCATGCTTCCGTACATGTCTGCAAATATCAAATATCGTCATTAAAGAAACCTTAGATTAATGATGCCAGAGATAGGCATCTCCATATCTACATTTTGCGTTTTTACGAAGAGACACGAATACACGTGCCCACTGAACACATGAAAAACGTATCGCTATGAAGGCATAAAAGAAAGACCAATGAGGTTTTCGTTGTCAAGAAGAGGAAGCATCTTTGTTACATTCTCAGGTGCGTGAGTGGACACCCGAGCAAACATGGGTGTCCAGTCAAGTGGGTTTTGACGGTCAGCGTTCATGCGTTTACTTGCGCAGACACAGAAATCGACCATTAACATAACACACGTTATTTTTGGTTTCAAGACGTTGGTGCTTGATGGCGGATAGTGCGCCCCCTAACGACTCATAATAAGACTGTGCGCCAGCTTGCACGAACGTCTTGGGAATCTTGCAGAAGCGTTTAAACGTGTTTTTTATTTTTCCCTCGGCTTTCCACGGGAACCAATCAGCACTCGCTACTTTGCATGCATAATAAATTTCGATGACCTCAGTAATACACCATGGTAAGGTCACATGCATCATGGCTGTCTGCAGTCCCGTCAACACGTAGACACGACAACACTGACGTTCGTACGGAGTTAGCACGGAGTAGAACGGGTGATACTCAGACTAGGTTAGGCCTAGGATATGACAGAGAATGCTGTTCTCGGTGACCCATAATCATGTACAGTCAGTCAGTCAGTCAGTCAGTCCTTAGAGACCAGATAGACCTTAACCTTCGAGGACAGAGTACTCGGACTGCAAGTTGGTTGTCGTTTTCTTGCTGCAAGTGTAGGTTTATTTTCTGCTTGTGTGAGTAATTTGGCTTCAGGCAGCATGCTCATTGTGAGTTGCAAAAAACGAGAATGTATTTTTTGCGCGGTGTCAGACAACGATTTTGTCTTCCCAATTGTTCTGCCACAGATATCGCAAACATGATGCAAGGCAACACAACTGTAGTCCCCGACGATATCTTTTAGAAGAGTGGCAATTTCATGTCTAATATGGAGTGAAAAATGTGTCTTACATGTCGCTAATCCCTTCCCACTAGCACAAACCAGACACTATCGACAGGGTACTTGTTCGCGTGAAGCCGCCATGTTGTTCGAACTTCGAAGTACATGTACATTTACATAATTATAATACCAAGGCTATAACTATTTAAGAAGATCAGTCGTTTAAATTACCGCTAATGGTTCATTAGGGAGACATTCCCATAGGAACGTGCACAAAATTTTTCCAACTTTACTGTCCCATAATTCAATACTCCCAAATCTGATCTGAACGAAACTTTGTATGTTTTCATTTTAGGCCCTAAACTATCATCTCTCAAAATATGGACGGTAAAATTCGGCCTCCTTCTTGTAGTTTGAAAATGGGGAGACACTGAAATGTCTCCCTAAAAGCCAATGTCTCCCTAATGCTGAAAAAATTACCACAAAATGTCTCCCAAATGACCTATTTGTAAATATTTGCATACAACTGCCTCATCCCCATTCCTGCAAGATTCCCAAGACGTTAGTGAGAGTAAGTTGTGCGAGAGCGCTCTTCAACAGAGATAAAACAACTATCGATCACTGACGTCTTGGACCAAGACTAAATGCACGTGTGTGTTAATTGAGTTCGGCCGTCTAAAACGCCCCGGGAGCGATTTTGACGGACACACAACTCTTGGTGGAAGTGTTGACGTGCACACGAAAAGGTATTGTTGTTCTCCACCGTTCCTAGGGTGACCCCTGGTACCCCTGGTACTGTATAATTTAAATATTCCACATATATTTGGGAATTTGGGGAAATCCATATGCCCGTCCCTCGTGAACGCAGTGACAAAGAGTGCAACAGCGCTCATCATTAAGAGGACAGCATTTCATGTTTATTCATGATTTATTTACCAGCCCGACCGAGGGCTCGTAGGAAATGGATCAATTCACTTACCTGCTGACTTCTTTACTTCTTCGGCATTAACATCTAGAACGCGCTCGAGCACTTCCACCTGGTCCTGAAAAAATCATTTAGTGAAAAGACTGGATGACACCCATTGAGCACAGAGCAATTTGTGCGTAATCTCTTTGCACTCTGACCCCTGTGGCACACGTTCAAGATTTTGGGGAGTACATCGTACATTTCCTTTTGGTGAATATTGCTTCGGAAAAACTATAGTTTCCACTCCTTGTGCCACTTTTCCCGGTTAAAACTGGAGACGCTTATTTGAAGGGGGGAACACTTGCACACTATATGTGGGGCTATTTGTTCTTCTTTTTAGCGATATTGCAAATATTTTAGTCATTGAGGAAAAATCCAAAAAAATCTCCTCGATCCGCTGCAAATTTTTGGCTTATCACAAAAAGTGGAGGAATTATTCAATAGCCCATTCCCCCTTCTCATGAAGGTGGGGGGATCTTTACCCCCATCCTGCGGGAATTACGCCCATGAATAGAAACCTTAATTTACGGTCTCAATCCATTCCTCAGGCCCTCGTCTGGATTTAATCGCGCTGGTTTAAAACCGTTCCATCAGAACTTATAACAAAGGTACTTTTCGGCTTCTATTCCAACGACACGTTGATATGGCGTGCAAACTTAGCATTTTATCCGCGTATGCAGATATCTCTGTTCCTAATAGAGATATTTCTACAATAGAGATATCTGTATAAAAACATGACGTATAATATCTATTAGGAATAGAGGTATCAAGATAGAGCATGAAGATAATAGATTTACACTAAACGTCGAGGGCGACCTGCTGACCTCGGAAGCGGGAACTTAATAGAGATATCTGTATTCTGTAATGGAAATATCTCTATTAGGAATAGATCTGTTGATATAGAGATATATAGAGATACTTCTATTCAGGGAATAAATTTGCACGCCATACGTTGACCAACTAGAATGTTGACTTAGAAAAAACAAGAGATAAATTTTAGGGCGTGGTATGATTTGATGACGAATCAACTATTGCCTGCTAAATTGAGTATCAGAAGGGGGAGACATTTTAACCCTTAGAGAGAAGATGCCATGTTCGTGAAGCACTTTAGAAATTGTACAATACAACGTTTCTTTTGGGACTGGATGGGATGAGGGTTCTTTTACGTATAAGACAAAACTTTGGGACAATTTTTGAGAGCAATACGTCCAAATTTTTGACCCTCTACACAAAACCAATGTACGCCACTACATTAGGGTATTGTTGTCTAACCAGTGAATCAGAATTCACTTTATTATTACGACATGATAAAACTTTCTGCACGCAGGTGGAAAATAAAAGGCAAACGTATACCATGCATGTCGTTCTCCAGGAATGTGTATCGATGTGATTGTAAGACAAGTACAGGAAAAGCTCAAAAAAACTTAGGCAAGTAACACTGCATTGCAATTAAATTAACCCACTTGTTGTATCCTAGCCCGAGTAAGGAATAAGATGTAGGTCCTATTGTATCTAGACACACCTTCGGTTTCTGACTGGGAGTTATATACCGTCACACTTAGATAATTCCATAATTGTAAATAGATGTATAAGCAAGCAGTGCTGGAATAAAGGTGAAATCTCTCTCCTCTCTCTCTCTCTGTCCTGTCGTTTGACTTTGTCTGCGTTTCTGACTACATATTACACCACTCTTGCGACGTAGCCCTACTCAGAAAAGTGTCTCTATTATTCTGTTATGCAGTTTACTGGTTAAGAACTGACGGATCGAGATTGACTTGATAGACATAGAAAAAGCAGTTGTGACATTGAACAATTATAATATCAAACACGTTCTTTCCAGTTCAATGCACCGTTTTAGACGTTGGATCATGGTCTCTCAGAATTTTTAGATTTGACATACTAACATTTTCTGTTGTAATTCCACAGTTTTTATTCAAAGCCAAACACTCCTTTTAAAACGGTTATATTTTAAAATTGTGTTTCTTTCGTTTTTACATACTCCTCTCATTTTATACTTATTTAGTTGGTATTCTTAATTTCACTTATTTATATCATATCTACATGTGAACTGTGACTCATATTTTATCAATCGATTTGGTGTTTCTCTTTTTAAAATTCACATTTAGCCAAATTACTCTCTGTTAAACCTACCTCAGTTAAAACAAATCAACTCACCCCATTAAAGGCGGTGACAAGGGAAAACCCTGCGAGTCCCAGCGCCAAGACTACAGCAGCAACCGATTGCAACATCCTTGATTCTCTCAACATCAGAAACTTGCTGCAGGAAGTTACTCTGACGCCCTTAATTAAGTCCGCTCAACGCAAACGAGTCAAGCCACCGAAATGAAGGAGTGGCCGATGAAATCAAGTGGAATGTGTTATTATGGGATGTATATCCCATAATGATTACTTTGTATAGAGAACTAGTGCGCATGGCCAACAACGCACGCCACTGAAACAGGGGCGTGTTTTTGCGAGCCCTAACCAGGAAGATATTCAAGACGGTCCACGAGATAAATGAACTTGAAACAGTCATGCTAAAGGGCCAAAATGGCAAGGAATGAGATGACCTTGGTGTTAGACGTCATTTTCTACTCGACATTGACGTATTTCTCAGCAGCGCTGCTCCCTCTTTTCAAATTCTAGTAGAAAAATTGTCTACTCTCCTCCATTTTGAACCGGTGCTGAACCAACTCCAACCTTCGGTTCTTGTTTGGTCAGAATAGTGACATCACACAAGCATAACCGAAGTCGTGAAAACGTTTAACCAATTACCAAAGCCGAAACAAACCAAAACACTCCCAGCACTAGGCATTATTATTCTTAAGCAAAACTAATGGATGTTCTAATTACAGAACGAAACGACGGAATGAGATATAACCAGTAATACTGGAGCGAGCTCGAGCATGCACGGTGAATAGTCCAGGTAAAACACGTAACGGCAGAGACGTGTTTTGAATTCAGTCACTAATAAATGTTGCTCCTAGATCAGAAACTCAAATATCTGATTCTGCCCCAGTTTCACTCGATGAAAAAAAAGGTTCAAGTAATTTCCTTAACTCGGCAGTCCCTCTTTGGTGCAATTCAGCCGCATTAGAGACACAGCACGACTTCAATTTCCAACGCGTGTACCATTACTTGCAATGCAACAGTATTATGTGATTTAATTGTGACGAATACCGTGTGATAAAAAAGCAGAAACAAATAAAAGGCCTAAAAGTCTTTACTGAAAGCATAGCTTAGCAGCTGGGACTAGTTTTCGATTAAAATTTGATTTTGAACCTATTCACTTTTTGTTAAAAAAGTGAATAGGTTCAAATCGTTTCTGGGTATTTCTGCGGTTTTAAACGTACTAGATGTGCAATCACACTTTCATTCCCTCAGAAATTAACTTTGAACAGTTGCCATCCTAGGCTAAAATCTTTAAGAATTCATAAACTGCAGAAGCTGTGAAATATCGTCACCATTTTGTTGAATAGCAACGCTCGTGGGTGATGTCTCAGGCCATATGCTACTCTGTTTTGGTCACACATCGCTTGAGCTAAATGCAATACCAATGCAAACAAACATCATTTTGTTTGAAACATGTTAAACATAATATGTATAATAATTTGCCCTTAACGACGTAACTCAGTACTCTCCCGATCGAATGTTTACCATCAGTCAGTTTATAAAAGATCGTCTCGATGTCACAGTCATCTCCGTAATAAGCACCTAGCAAGGTATACGCAAGAAAGAAATAGAATTCGATGTTGGTATTGGATGGTAGGCCTTCTGCCGACATAAAGGTAAATAACACACATCACGCCACTGAAATGGATTTTGTTAGTATTTGGTATCGGTCTCGGGCGGTGCTCCAACATATCACATAAGTATTATACATCACGTAAACAGAGTGCCGTGTTGTAGGCTTGGCTCAGTTGTCGTGAAGAGAGTTCCGGAAAGCGAAGCTCGGTTTTACAAAACCTCTTGTAAAATAAGCGAATGGCTGAACAAAATCGCACAGGGTGGTAAAAGTGTCAGTACTACTTACAAAAAAAAAATACACAGAACGCCTGAACCATGCCTTTACAAGCATGGTGTCATTTGAGCATCCTTTTTTCATTTCTTTTGATTTCATGTCCAACTGCATGAGCCCTTTTTGGCTCCCAACAGAAGCAAAACCTCTTTTTCTGCAGCCAACTACATGTCTTCATTTTCTGATGAAGAGAAGTATGAGACAGAAAATCACAATGTTTTCCCAATTTATGGGGGGAATTGCTGATTGGAAAAAATATGTCTGTCGCAAAAACAAAATTGGAAAAAACAATACATTTCGTAAAACCAAACTTTGGAAAAATATACAACTTTAAAAAAAACCCACTTAAATGGCACTCCAGGGCTTTTGTAGTTTCCAGCAACGCTGACACTCATATAGTCTAATTCCATGCCCAAAGATTCCCTGATCCCTCTTGATAAAAACTATTTGGGGTGCACCCTTGTAATTAGGCCAGAAATATGTCTGCTGATCTCATTAATAAAAGTTATACACTCAAAATATTCTATATTTGAGGGTACTGAGAGCCATGGAACTGGGGAATTGAAGAAATATGAGACTGAACCTCTGGACCGGACTCAGGGCTTCCAATTCTGAGCAATTTGGATGCAATCAGGTCCGAAAGTGGCACTATTTGAGCCATTGTGCAGAGGGATGGTTTTTCAAAATGGCTCCTTTTCTGGACAGGGACATTTTCTGCATTTCAGGGGTGGTCTGCTTCTGGTGAAAATTTCTCAAAAATTCATTGGTCAACCCCCCGAAAATTAAAAGGAAAATTAAAGAGGACAAGTGGAACATCATTTTTCTGTGCAGCCTGAACACCTGTGAGAGTTGTGAGTATTTTTTAAATATTTGTGAAGTATGGGGACTTCTCACTGCTGTCTATGGGAATTTATTTCTAGTGGTGCACCCTTAGGTCAGACATCACCGACGGATATTAAAAGATATGACGTAAGCCTAGGGTCAGGGGTCACAAGTAGAGAGCCTGAGTGTGTTCTATTCCATTGTGTTATATGTGTGCACCTTGTATATGTAAGCATTTGCCTTTCGTCGTCAGGTCCTGATTCTTCTTAGATTCTCCTTTGGGAACCTTCAGTTATATTCTGCATTTCGCCTGGCATTTATTTCGGCCAAGGCCACCTTCGATTTCTGTGTAAAGTCAAATATTGTAGGATCAACAGCTTCCATTTGGATACGGGAGTTCACGTTCAACAGCTAGCCTATTTACTCGGCCTGGAATAACCGAACGCAATGGTACAACCTGAACATGCCGATTATATAGACGGGACGACTTCGGAAACTGGAGGAATGTCTCCAGTCACGTGGACAATGTGTGATACCTTGATTCGTCGAGTAGTTAGAGTCATCGGGTCTGGTATCCAGACTAACACTCATGTCGCGGCCTGAAGCGCCCCCTCACGTCACAAGCTGAGAAGGTCGGTTTATCTTACTATGGCTTTAAGAATATAGTTGTTGGGTGGCTCTGAGAGATGGTGTGCCCTTGCATGGCAACAGTGGTCATTAGTTGGAACCATGCACAGACATATAATGCAATCACACGTATGAAGCCAAACCACTGTTCACAGCCATGCACACATGTACGGGGCTCAACCAACCATAAAAAGCTTCATGTGTGAAGCTTTTCACCAGTAGGCTGTAACATTCGGGCTCTATTTTCCTGGACAAAAATCCTCCCTGTCCACAATTAACACACAGAATTCGAACCCAAATCCCACAGATCACAACCATTAATGCTGTAACCGCTTGATTACCACAGTTCACAAAAGTTGCTGGTGTTTTTACTGTTGGTTTATTTGTAATACCGATGAAAGGCTGCACATTAGGAAGCCTAATATTACATTAGACATGCGCAATACATACACGACCATGGTGGTTGGGCTTTTGGTTGCGTTGTATCTCCTTCATCAAGCAATGCGCAAAACGATGAATAGCAGTGCGTTCGGTGCGAATTGCACGTGACGCGCTTTGATTGCATGCATTTTTTTGTTTTTGGACATTGTGCTCAAAAAAACGCTCCCTTTTTTACTCTTTTGTACTCATTTCTTTTCAACTGTTGCAACCGCACTGTCTCGAATCTGCATTGGTCAGATTAAGTAAACAGAGGATTTTTTTTCTCAAGCGAAAAATGGCTTCTTAGAATTCGTTGGTTGGAATTATTCATCTGAGCTGCGACGGATGATTTAGCCCACGCTTTTGGATTTAGTCGGGTGCCGTCTCGACGACGGTACACTGGCTTTTGTTTTGAATAGGAGCTGTCTGTCTATGTGTTTATAATGTCAGTGGTTGGAACTCACCTCGCGCGTACTGATGTCTTTACCTGCCGGGACGGACTGAGCATCCGAGACCCATCAACTGATTTTACCATTATCTCGATCTATGCTCTTTGATCAACAGCAGCTCTCAAAGTTGACCGTTCCACCAGCAGTCGTTGGGTAGTCTGGAAGCATGGGTTCAGATTTTCACTTGGATCCAGACAGAACAAAAGTTGGTGTGGATTTTACTTTACATGTAAATGTACAAGGGACGATACTTCCTGAGTGAAGATTGACAATATTTATGCGGGAATCTTGTCAAAAAGCACGAGCCGTGAATTGAAGTGGCTGGTAGCTATGCAACCAATGGGGCACATGCGTATGATTTGGCGTATGATGAACATAGGTAATACGGCCGTTTCACAATAGTGCGCCACCAAGAGTTTGAAACGCGTTGGCCAATCACAATGCGCGAATTTGTCGACCCAATGCGCGTTTGGAAAGATTCGACAAATTTCTTGCGTTATGATTGGCCAACGCATTGCAAACTCTTGGTGGCGTACTATTGGGAATCGCCTGTATTCAATCGACCAGGGCGTAATCCGAATACCCATCACGGTTAGTAAAGGAGCCTTCTTACAGCAAATTGCCACAGTATGAAGCATGCTGATTATGCATGCAAACAGGCGCCTGGATTACGTAACACTATCGACAGCATTATGCAGGGTCGTGGGCACAAAGGGGGAAAAAAGGAGGCCGGTTGGGCTGGCCTGCCTGTGTAGAAGGATAAAGCAAAGATCGTATAGCGCCAAAGGCGCAAGATGGATCACTCTGCCCAAAAGATGTAATTAGCATAAGCGCTATTTGAAGCAAGCGATACGCCTGCGCAGTTTACAGTAATGCTTGGGCGCAGGTGCAAGTGCCTGCCGCGGCGCTGTGCATATGCATTAATGTGCATTGCGCAGGCATATCGCTAGCTCTAATGGTCCTGTCATTACAACGTTTAAGTGTATTTACGGTGAAGTTCGCCATCTTGGGCAGCTTGGGATAAAGGAATGGTGCGGCATCTCGAAGGGTAAGGTTTTTTTTTTCTTTTCTCAGTTTGTTTCCTGTTGGCTACAGCAGCTATCAGACCAGTTCACGCCCCAGTACCCAGATAGCTTGGATCTCAGTTCCCACGCCTCAGTGATCACCCACAGCATATAAGCAGCAGCACAGTTGGATCGCGTCAGTCCTGAAGACGAACAGAGCCCTCACTGTCCGAAACGTCGAGTAACCAGTTATTTTCAGAGCTGCACATACTCAAAACAGATATTTTCCACGTGGTGTATCCGCAAACACTCTAGCTTATCGTTTTCCACCATGCAAAGCTTGAAGAGCTACTTGAACGGTTGATTGATTTAATGCCCAGATTTCTTGGGCCTTGAACAATGTTTTATTTAAAAAAAAACCGCTCAGTTAAACGAATTGTCGGTTTGAGTCTTGCTAATAAGCATGGTACCTAATCGCATAATGCGATAAGAATATTACTTGCATGTTTTGAATGCAAGTAATATTGTGTTGGTAAACGATGTGTAGTCGGATCGGGTACAACGCTATAATCAGCAGGGGCCCCCATGTGGTGTAGGCGAGGGGCCTCGTTCCAACCTATGTATCCCTCTTTTGTAGCTTCGTCCATGCCATGTGACTACGTCTCTCATTACAATCAACACACAAAGGCACATTTTGAAGAACGCCCAAACGGCGTGTCCTGAATTAACGGAAGTTTCTCTTTAATGCAAAGGAACTCGTTTGTCTGTACACGTGGAAAATAGACACTGGACGTGCAAAATATATATCTATGTACACGATTATGCATAATGTACAAAACTTGTTCTACATTCCAAGACTGCGTGTGACTGTATAATACGACGCTAAAGTACCGCAAACATCTGAAGGCGATGCATGGGCCCCATTCTCAGTGGGTCCAATACATGTATGGCGTTGCGCCACTCATTCTACCCTGGTAACAAAGAATAAGAACCCTATTGCGCAGGATAAAACCTGGGAAAGCACAAGAAATATGATCGCTGCCTCTTAAGTCGTCTGCTGGTGTATATAAGCCTATTTTTTAAACTGTACTTATTTACAAATCTGTTTTGTCTTATTTTGTTCTCCAGTGGCCGTTTGTTACATATTGCTTTGTTCATCGACAATTCTGTCTTCACACAATGCTCAACCCGTACCAAAGACGATAGAAAAACTCTTCCCTGTTTGTTTTTCAATCATGGCTTTACAGTCATAAATTAATCTAAGCGTTGTATTGCTATTTACATCCTCATGATGAGGAAGACAGCACTTCATGTTGACCGCAATGAAAATGTTACAAAACACGGTGCGCTGGACCTTACTTGTGAAGTAAAGTACAAAAAAGTACTGCAAAAGTCTTCAATTCCACGCTGTAGTGCACATTGTTAAGATTTGCCCATCTTGTCAAGCTGCAGAGACTAAAGGTAAAACGTGCCATTCATCATTTTGAGCATTTCTATTTGAAAGACAACATAACCAACATTTATGCACTCACGACGTTTGATTTTTTGCTTTAATTCAGAAATGTGCTTTGAAAATTAAGAAAATGATAAATACAACGCACCTTGACATAATGAGCTTGCCATGTGTCTCTAAGGCACTGCTTTGATCGTCAGCAGAACAATGCAGACATTGTTTCAATTTAAAGCACTCTTGTTACCACTAAGATTAACCATTCAAGTGCAACTGCATTTCTTACTTGTTCATCAATATGTTTTTCTTGAAAAAGGTGTACCTGGAAACAACGCACGCGGCAGAGGCTGAAATTCAAGTGGGCTTTTAGCGTCGCTTGGTGGCAGCAAAACGCCTTCGTTGTTGCTTACAAAGCAACGGCTTGGGAGCAGTTGTAGATCACGGACGTG